TGAAAATTTGTATGTAATTCCCCATGGATCCAATGAACCTCCATACCAATTTTGGTGAATATCCATCCACACCCTGCGAAGTAGTTACATGGACATACAACAAGTAGTTCTATTATATTTATATAGATACAGCATAGTGTCATATATTACCATAAGAGTACCGCGCAAAGCTCGGCAATTATTCCGATTGCTTCACTAGGACGGACAACGTGCGTCTGCCTCATTCGCTGTGCAGATTTACTAATTATGAACAATCAGACTTGTGAAGTACACACTACATCAGTATAGTATAGCACAAAATTGAAGTAGCTGTAGCAGATGAACCATCTATCTGAGGAACACGTGATAAGCGAAGCACTAAACAGTTTCGTTTGGCGCCTGCCTCTTATCGTAAAAATTGATTAAACTTGAACTTTGGGAGATCCACCCAAATTCTTTTACCAAATGTCAACGAAATGTATACGGTCCGATTTTCACATATCATTTTAAAAATGCTTCATATATCTTTCTACTCGTGGTTTTACACACTTATTTGTATACATTTTCCTATATTAACCTCTATAGAGTTAAATATATTATGATATGTACGATATCATATACTATTGTTTCTTTTGATATATGTTTCTTTACATAAATAGATAAATACATTTTTATATTTACGCTTCCATATATCTTATTTATAGTTTCATAAAACCTTCAGTACTTAGTGTTCTAAATTATTTTTGTACAATTTTGTATATCCTTGTACTGCTTTGCATATCTGTCTAGTTTTCGTCTTTCCTTCCATGTACGTTTTCACATTTTACGTACAGCTTGTTTTATTAAAATTCAGTGCATAATTTTTAGGATTTATTTTTTTGTATTAGCCAGAGACATAGAAATTTCATATAATAGTTTTCTTTATAAAACTATGATTGCTACAAATATAAATCCTTACATCGTGCTGTTGTCGGCCATTTTGATGTTTTCACTCAATCAGTTTCTAATACTCAGTTATAACTTGATATATATTTTGGGCAAGTGGTTACACGCTTGAATTTCGGGTTGTTATTCATACATTGACATTAACACTAAGATATGAAAACAGCAGCCTTTGGCGAAGATTTTAGTTGTTCATAAATCTAGTTGGTTTTTTGCTTGCATTCTGATATGGAAACAGTTTGTACCACCTTAATATATAATGCATGTAATTATCATACTAGAAAACGCTTAAAATAATGATTCCCAATGTGTTTAAAACTAAATTATCGACAATACAAGACCTGGTTAAATAGCCTATACCATAACCCAAGTCTTAATTATCAATTAGTATCTATTTTTCATAACCATAAAAGAAATGTTGTGGGTTAGCTGTGTAATAAATCACTATTTTCGACGTCTAAACACTGATCCACATCAGACAGAACATCTTGATGAGAATAAATGTAATTACGTTTGAGTTGTTTAATATTTCTCACAACAATGCTAACACCTTGACTCGTGTCATCAAGAAATGTTCTCAACTCGTCTGGCTTGACGTTTGTGAAGAAACCGAACACCTTTAAAAGTCATCGTCGTGGATTAATATGTTTGAAACTTTCATAACAAGACCGGGGGCGTTATAATGTGACGATCAATTCTACTATTCGTTGGTAAAAGAGTAGCCCAAGAGTTGGTGGTGGGTGGTGATGACTAGCTGCCTTCCTCTAGTCTTACACTGCTAAATTAGGGACGGCTAGCACAGATAGCCCTCGTGTAGCTTTGCGCGAAATTCAAAAACAAACAAACAAACAAGAACGTGATAAACCCCAGACCACTACAGTTGAAGCTCTGTCACTGGATGACTGAATTAAATGCTCCACGTAGTTTGATGAGGTGCCATAAAAGCTATGTTCAATTTTTTTTTTCAAAACCAAAGACATATAGGCGAATTTTCACGGGAAACACACCCTCCCCACAAACAAACTTTTTAAAGGATTTTTTTTTTTCATATAATACCCTCATGGATACCCCTACCTACAGAAACTGCCCCTTTCCCAGTTTTGAAACCAAAGTTACGCCATTGCATAGACATACATAGTAATAAAAGTATTTCAGTCCTCTAAGTATAAGAACTTCATTGTTAAAATGTATTAACTCCACTTATGTGTGTGTGTTTTGTTTTTTGGAGTAATTGAAGATGGCAACTAATCCCTTATAAATCGTGAAAGTAAGGTTTCCACAAATGATCTCTAAAAATGAGCATATATATATACGTACATATAACAGCGTTTCGCTTGGATTGGCACCAGTCACGTTATAGGTCCGTTTCTTAGCTAGTAGAGCTTGAAAAACAAAACAAAAAGTGATCCGTAGTTAACAATAATCAAATCTAAGTGTTCGAGCCAATGAAAATGATATATTTTACGCCGAGCAAGCAGACGCCTGACCAAGCCACCCACGGCTGAAAGGGCGAGCATGTTTGGTGGGTTACATATACGTATAATAAACAAACGAAAAATTCTGTTAATAACGTGATTGGCTCGGCATGGCCAGGTAGTTAGAGCGCTCGACTCACAATCTGAGGGTCGCGGTTTCGAATCCCCTTTTAAATGTTATGTATGGTCAGTTCTGCCACACAGGGTAGAAAATTAGACCATGTTTGCTGAAAGAAATGACAAATGAAAGCACTTGAAATGTTGTACTATGGAAAATTATGAAGACAAATTACACAGAAAAAAACTAATGAGGAAAACTGGAATGTGGAAAGACAAAAAGACAACTGCTGGAGATATGCAAGAATCAGTACACTTGCTTCTTTGGGCATATAATTAGGTCTGAGGGAAGGCAGAGATTCTGATGGGTAAAACTGAAAGAAGAACAAGAAGTAAGCTGAGAGACTTGAATTAGGAATGACAATACAGGAAGTGAGGAATAGAGAACAATGGAAAACCATAGTTGTCAGCCCTCAAAATTGTGGGGCACACCATAATTGATTGATAAAAACTCTTAAATGTAGGTCTGTTTTGTGATTTTTGTTTTCTTTGCTTTTACACTTCTAATAAAAGTATGTCAGGCCTGAATATCACAAGATTTTTGTCTCATACGCATAAATAAATGTTCATAATATGAATGATGTAAATTATTATTAAACTGCACATTACTGAGAAATACAATTTTTTTTAAAGATTTTTATATGAATATTAAGTATAGAAAGTAGTCAAACACAAAAAAATCAATGATGATATTTTGGCATCTAAAAGGATTTTATATATGTTTTCATTTCATAAATATAAAGTTCCTATACTTTTACAAGAACAAAAATTTATATATTATATGCAAGTATACTTATGCTGAATAGGAATAACCAACTGTTCAATTAACATAACATCCACTCATCACTTGGCATACATCTTAATTAAAATAAGACTTTATCACTTCAGGTTTCTTAATCATTTTTGAAAGGTTAGTTTATCACAATGGTTTGAATTCCACAATATACGAGTTCAGTAAGAGTAATCTCTTTCAAATAAAAAAATTATAGGTTTCAACAATAACAATGTTACACACACTTCCTTATATACCTAATATATGGTCATTTATTAATGAAACACCAACATTAATTCTCTACATATAAAGTTATAAAATACTAAACTTTCAATAGCTTACAAAAAATTGGCACATTATTACTGCTATCCCAGGTGTCCCAAAAATCCAGTAAACTGTCCTTAGGCATACCAGAAAAAAAAAACTTTCTGGCACTTTCTGTGCTACTTAACCTATTTAAAATTCTTCTCACAGAACCCTTTAAACACAGTATAAAAATAAATTTTGTCTCCACACCTTTCAGATCTCACTGCCCTGTGATATAAGCAATAACCTAACTACAGTTTTACTATTAAGACTTTTATGTTAAAAATACTTTCTTCCATATAAATCTCCAGCAGTAGAATTTTTATGGAATATGAAGGATCTCATTTTGCTTAGCTAAAAATATTTATTTCTAACAGCACAGTCTTCACATTTTTCATGCTTTAAAATTTTTCAATATTTAGTTCATTAGTAAATTTTTAAGTTAATTACTGAATTATGTCACAGGATTCTAGTTTGTATTTATGGTACAAAAGTATGAAATTAAAGGTTGAATAACAAACCATGCATAATTAAATATACACTATAAAATCTCTAAAAATCAAGATCAAATGGTTTTGTGTCAATCTTTACATGACTGAGGTTGTTTAGATTCATTATCTGTTTGTGGAGCTTTACACTTAAAAGAAACTGGTTAACCGACAAATTTGTTTAGGATTATGCATGACTTTTGTTTATCATTTAACAATTTTCTTAGTTTTCACCTTTTTTCATCATGAAAGGCCATCCTATATAAAAGTTATTAAATGTTAGGGTATTTATAGTTTGTAAAATAAAATAGTTATCTATTTTCATTAAAAACCTATCTTTAAAAGAGTGATCATTTATTCAATATTTCACCCTCTTATCAAATACTCTGTTTTCATAAGTGTCCCGATATTATTTTCATAAAATCTTGTATGTAGTATACAGTGTTAAAAAAAAAAGGATTTCACTTTTCCCAATAATTTTCAATACTAATACTTGTTTTTTTTTCTTATCAATAGAGAAAGTAAAGCAATGCATGAAATGAACTTGTCTCTGAATTTGTTGTATTTCAATATAAACATTTTGCATTAGGTTTGTAAGTATTCTGTACTTTTCTCACAGTGAAAAAAAACTTACAAGACAATTCCATACAGTAACCTAACCTCATTATCCTCCTTCTTTAAGTCATAAAAGGATTAAGAATAGTTTCTGTAATCATTCTACAACGTTTGTGCATGATTTGACATGAATAATAATGAACTCAACATGTAGGGTAGAGAGATAAATATTTTCAAAAGAAAAGTAAATGAATTACCAAACGATTCTGTTTTTCTAACATCCCATATTTGCTTTCATTACTTGAAATATAACACTGAAAATGTGTATATAAAATAGTTAACAATTTAAAATAAAAAAATACTCACTTATTGAATTTATATATGTCTTCTATATTTCCAGAAAGATCTTCTAAAGTTTGATCACTTATTTTTCGGACTTCTAAGGACAACATGTATTGGAAATACCCCTAAAAAGAAAACTTCAGTTTAAAATAACATATGTACATTTATCTAGTTATTCACTTGCATATCTATCTACATATATATCCACAGGGATAACATTTGTAATATCTATAAACTTACATCCAAGATAGAAAGAAAACAATTATTTTCTATACTTGTATTCACTAGGATATTTACACATTTCCTGCTACAAAACAGTTTGTCAATTATAACGCTCCAAATAACTTTGTTATTGTAAGTCATTTTTACAGTCCAAAAACTAAATTTTATGTTCCTTTACATGACAAGCTAGGACATGGAGCTTGTTGTAAATTGACTATTATAAATATAAAAATAATAACCAATTGGCATACCTGTCCAAAGCACAGATAAGACATGTGGGCCCCTGGGGAATGCCAGAGGAAGTCAGATGAAAATGCAGACAACTCCCCCTTTATGTCATTCTCTGGGGAACTGAAAGAGTGCATGCCAAGTTTAATTGAGATATGTCAAAGGAGGACACCCAAGAAAACTAGAGAATGAAACTGGGAGGGGTGTAGATCTGAACACCAATCCCCATTATGCTTTTCCCTGGGGTGTGAGAAGAGTGTTTTTAAAATTTGGTATAGATCAATAGAATAGAAAAGCAGATCCAAATGCTACCCTCCCGCCATGTCACTCCCCAGAGTGACTTTGAAGTTTGGTAGAGATCAACAAAATAACACAGGTAACACATATGGACCCCAAAGGTAGACTTAAAGTAATCAGATCCAAAAACCAACCGAATCCCCTATGTCCAAGTTTAAAAAGAAGAAAGAAACAAACAAACAGTAAAACTAAACGTTTTGATAATGTTTCTTCTTAATGTTGCGATTTTTAAAATACACTAACAACAATTATATCCTTCTGCAATGAAATGAATGTCGCGTTTGTCCGAAAGTAACATGTCCTGTTACACTTGAAATATATAGAGTTGCTCGTTGTTATTTCAGCAAGAGAATATATTCACCATGAATTTCCTCATTGTACTTTTGTTTTTCTGAAATTAAGTATTTTAAAAAATCAAGCACAATAGTTAAAAGGGCGAGGCACGGTTAATTATAACATTCAATACAAGCACATAAGTCTGACGTGAACCAAACTATTTTGGGTTTGATATCATCATAAAAACTTACAAGGGGTAAATTAAGAGTAGGTTGTTTTCATCTAAGATAAAGTATATATATATTTGAGAGCATCCTTCAGCTTCTACAGACCTAATGAAGTCCCTGAACCACCTGTTTATTTTTTCTCATCGTGGGTGCATTTAATTTTATGGTGCACCCCTAACTTATGGAATCACACTACACCCCTGGTTTAATGTTTTCATTGGGTGGAAGATTTATAGAAAGCATAAAGAATCTTTATTATATAACTTGTATGCAGAGTAGTTGGTAAAAGTTAATTGCTGGTGCAGTAGAGAAAAAGAGTTCACAGAAAAAGAATGTGTAATAATATGTATGCTGTTGATACAGCACTTATTGGTGAAGCTGTGGAAGAAATACAATGATCATTTGACTGGTTTGTTGATAAGTGAAAAAACTATGGACTCAGAATAAATGTCAACAAAACTAAGATAACAGTAATTTCATGATCTGAAGAAGATCCCAGAATATTCATCAAAGTAGATGGTATAGAGCTGAAACAAGAAGTGGAGTTCACTTATTTGTGGAGGAATATCAATAGTGATGTCAAACATGGAAAAAAGAGAGCGAGAGATAAAGCAAAGGATAGGAAAGGCAAAAACAGCATTCTTAAATCTCAGAGAATTGCTCAAAAGAGTCAAACTAGAACTGAAGAAGAGACTACGGGGCTTCCTGTTGTCTGGGGCTGATTAGGTCCATGGTTAATATATCCTCCCTGTGTAAAGGACAGTAAATCGTCCTTTGATGTATTTAATTCACTTTGAAATTTACTAATCTTTTCCATTTGTGTATGCTGGCTTTCTCTCAACTGTTGGAGACTTTCTTCTTGTTTATTTTCTTTCTCCTCCACCCACTGCTTTAGTCTTTCTTCTTGTTTCTTTTCTTTCTCCTCCAACCACTGCTGTAGTCTCTCTTCTTGTTTATTTTCTTTCTCCTCCAACCACTGCTTTAGTCTCTCTTCTTGTTTCTTTTCTTTCTCCTCCAACCACTGCTTTAGTCTCTCTTCTTGTTTCTTTTGCTGTTCTTGTATTGCTGCCATCAAATCTGCTAAGTCGTAGTTTGATTTGCCACTTCTCATTTCCATTTTGTTTTCCCTCTATCCCACTTCTGACACCAATTTGTTACGTATCTGCTTGTTTGATAATTTCCAGTATAAATTCTTTCCAAGGAACTTCAGCGATACAAGCACTTTCTTAATTAAAACTAGTTTATTCTTTCTCTATACAACTTTGTAATACACAGAATTTCCACAGTCACTTTAAACTTAACAACCTTTACTTACGGTGCCTACTGTTCGCTTGACTCAATTATCTCTATCTTGAATCTATCTTCATATCTATGCAATCTATTTGCCTATCGCTGGCTTTATTTGCCGGGCTTATATACTAAAAAAGAGGGCACCTGGGAAACACTCAGATATTCGCGAGGTTCCTCGATAAGTCATGATCCTTATAGAAACTCCAGCGTGCATGCTCCCAGCATCGCGTGACTTCCGCTGTCGTAACAACTTCATGAAATTTGCTTTCACCACTAAATGGTGATTACATAAATATAATTAAAACTTTTTATTTTTCACTGAGCCCAAAAATATACAAATACACTTCTAAACTTAATACAACTGTACATGATAATCCTAGGCTCAATGTTTTACATTAGTTTTTTTTATTTTTAGTAAGAATCAGATATTAATAGTCTTGTGGATATTCAAAAATTCATTAATGGCATCAAACGTCAAAATCTGAGCAGATATACCAAACAACTGATGAGTAAGTACTTTTAATGTATTTTCAGGGTATCAGTAAGCATTTGTTGCAAAGGTTTTAAAACAATAAACATAAAAGTATTCAAAAATAACTAAAACATAAAAGAATAACTGAACTTCAACTTCTTATTTAGAATAATAATAAGTTTGATGGTCTGAGGTGACACACAGTTCAATTGAATTTTGTAAATTTCTTGTAATAACACATTAACAATACTCATACAATTAATCAGCTAAAGAATATCATACTTTGTTTTGTGTTTTAGAACAAATATTCATCACTAAGGTAAAAATAACATTGCAATTACAATATTTAATCATAATCATTTTAGTAAATTTCATTTTAAGTAATAAGGAAAACCAAAGCATGATTGTTACTGTACCAAGTAAATATAAAACATTCAGTAAAAACACTTATAAATCAATCATGCTTACATTTAATAAAAGTTGATACTTTGTTATTCTTTGAACAGGTTTCAATAAGTATGAGCCTAAGGGTAACTGATGATGTAGAGCAATTTGTCTTTCCTATAAAATTATAAAATCAAAAGGATTAATTTAAATGACACCAGTAATTGTAATATTTTATGATTTATCTTATTACATATGTGTAAAATAAAAATGTTCCATAAAATTATAAAATCAAGAAGATTAATATAAATGATACCAGTAATTGTAATATTTTATGATTTACCATTTTAAAAGTATAAGCTTTTGCAGTGGAAATTTCCCATTTTCATCCACATCCATTTGCAAGATTGAAAAATACTTATCTTTTAGATAAAAAGAATTAACACTTAAATAAGCACCATTTTCTATGAAGGTAGATAAAATGTACATTTTTATATTCTGAATATCTATCTGTGCATGTAAGTTAACTCGTTAGAAACTTGGATATATCACTTAATAGAACGTGAAAAACTAAAAGTTTTAATACATTAGTTTGATTTAAACTAAACTACTAAAAATTGTACAGCTTCATATACTATTAAATTGGTAATCACATTAATATTTCAAGTTTCAAGACTCTACAGAATAAAATATTGTATGAAATGTAGATTATATAAATAAACTTTTTTTTAGAACTTACTCGAAAAATCTCAGCTGTTTGTGAGTTTTGCATCAGCTTTGTTAACACTTCTATTGATCTGCAAATAGAATATTATATAAAGCTATATTTTGATCAACTATTACTGCAGAATAGCTTAAGTTTTGAAATGACAACGATTTCTGAGAATATGTCATATAATTATACTTTATGTAGAGTTCTGGTCACTTCTTCTCAGCAGTTATTTTTATTCTAACAAAATTTTAAATACGAAGTTGCAGCTTTGTAGCATTTCAATAATGTGGCATCAAACAAATACACTAAACATTTGTAAAATATACCTTGTATTTTTATTTGTATTCTCAAAGTACAAAGACTAGAACTATACTGTTAAATAATATTTTTTTCTTGGGGTTATTACTCCAAAGGTAGTAATAGTTGGAAACATAAATAAGGAAATAGACTGTAAAGGCTACAAAAATTGGTTAAATCACTCTACACACTCAAAACATATCACATTTTGCTAAAACTTAACTTAAATCTTAACTTCAACAATTTGATTATAAAATAGTCAAATATTAAAATGTAATGTTTCTAGCAATAAAAAATGTCTATAATTCACATTCTATCTTTGTAAGACATGTTGCAGTTTTAGATAAATTACTCTCAAAATAGAGAAAGTTTTACAATCTAGTAAGAACTTATAGCTATATGAAATATATTTGTATATTTTTCTACATTTTTATTCTTCTATGATGATCAGCAAGTAATGGTAAAGTTTCATTTTCCCATACTTGTTGTTGCTAATTCATTCTGCAGCTTTTATTGGTACTACTATGTTTAATGATATAAGCATATTATTAATAGAAATATACAAGAATATGTTTTCGTCTTGAGATTTTATGCAGTTACCTTGGATAATTTGTGCAATAATGTGCATATATTGCAAAACCTGCACTGTTTTTGACAAAACATCTGGCAACTTCTACCGGTCTTAGGCCACAGTCTTCTAGTTCTTTCAGAAAGATTCTA